GGAGGTGCGGGCGCTCACAGGCGCGGAGACGCACCGGGGCGCCGCGGGGGCGGGCGCGGGCGCTGGTGCGCGGGCGCTGGTGCGCGGGGAATGCCACGCCTGGCGCTGCCACCGGCACACACGAACGACTCCACGCGCGAAGGCAGGGGGAGGAAGGGAAGTAACGAAGGAAGGAAAGAAGTGAAAGAAGAAAAGTAAAAAAAGAAGGAAGGAAAGAAGCGATAGAAGAGAAGTAAAAAAAGAAAGAAGGAAAAAGCGAAAGAAGAAAAGTAAAAAAAAGAAGGAAGGAAGGAAAGAAAAGGAAAGCAAGAAGAAAGTAAGGAATGGAAAACAAGAAGGAAGGAAGGAAAGGAAAGAAAGAAGTAAGGAAAGGAAAGAAAGGAAAGGAAAGTAAGAAGTAAGGAAAGGAAAACAAGAAGGAAGGAAGGAAAGGACAGAAAGAAGTATGGAAAGAAAAGTAAGGAAAGGAAAGTAAGAAGTAAGGAAAGTAATGAGAGAAGGAAGGAAAAGAAAGAAAGTAAGAAAGAAGGAATGAAAGGAAAGAAAGAAGGAAGAACGGAAAGGATAGGTGGAAGGAAAAGAAAGAAGAAGGAAGGAAAGTAAAGAACGGACGAATGAAGTGAAAGGATAGAAGGAAAGGAAAGGAAAGAAAAGGGAAAGCAAAAGAAATAAAACGAAGAACAAGGGAACAACTCACAGAAAGTTGTACGGAGGGAGATATTGTATGGATAATTTATTCGATCTACTACATGGAAAGCGGCAGGTTGCCGTATAGAGCAGAAAAGAGATATCGGATATTAAATAGACGTGTTCATAAAATAATAAAAGATGTTAAAAACCACAGTCAGATTAAGATGGTCTAGCGGATGTCGCGTTGGAATGTTTTCCGGTGCAGATACTCAAGAAAACGGTAGATAGGTGAGAGAATTGAGAAAATAAAAATGATAAACGTAAATGTAGACTAAACTTTAATTTGGATGATGAAGATATTCACTAATGAAAGGTATGAAATGGCAAAGACAAGAAGCAAAATAGATTTGAGAAAATACAAATTCTACTACCTGTATGTATGTATGTATGTATGTATGGACTTGGGGCGACAGCCTGTGAACGGGCTCAGGCCTACCGGCGACGTCCCTGCCTCGCGGCCATGGGTTAAGGGGGTACGTGTGGTTAGCACTTATACACACCTATGCCGTATTCTGGTCTTCTCAACACAAAAAGTGAATTTTCTCATCGTCACACAGCAATAAACACCGGGGCATTGCAAGGAAAACGCACACTATAGTCTTGACTCGACTGGGAATCGACTAAACGTCGATACCAAACTCTACTACTTACTTAATTATCTTTCTTGTAACATCCAAATGTTTAACTTTTACTTTCTTGCCAAAGTTTCAAAAAGATAATAATAAAATGCAAGAAAAGCGATATCCCGCGTATTAATAAAATAAACATTTCGTTGTTTGTTTTCAGAAAAATTGCAAAGTTTTAATTTTTGAGCTTTCTACAGCTAGAACATTATTAATGCTAGAGATTTTTTGATGACAAGTTATCTTCAAAATTAAATGTTTTTGAGTGTTGTTATACAATGTGATTTTAGTGATGAAACTTTTTTCGTATTTTTTAGCTCGTGGCATTTTTTTAAAAATATTGGATTAATATTTTCCTTAAAACCATTTCAACATGTTTTTTAGTAAAATGCACTAAATTTCATGACATAACTGTTAAATTGAATATCATTATTTTGAAAAAAATTATTTTTTTAAAAATATATTGTATGTTAATATTTACAGTACGGATTCATTTTATAATTTAATGCATTTGTAGACATAAATGTTTCAAGTTTTTACTCATTAATAATAGTTGCTTACTGAAACAGTCTAGGTATCAAAGGTCGCTCAGATGTGACCTATTGATCGTGAAGGCAATCTCAAGGGGTGGTTGAGTTATTTCTTTAAACTTTTTAAGCAGAGCGCACACTCCACTTAATTCAATAACAGAAGGCCCAGATGTTTCATTCATTTACTGCCGAGTGTTTTCACAAATCGGCAATGAGCTTCCCAAATACTGAGTAGGGCGAACGGCCACTAGGTGAGATGTAACATAGCGCAACGCACAGTACGTTAAACAAAATGAACTCGCCCAATCACATATTAATGGATTCCTAAAAATTTACAGGCGCGCTGGTTTCGAAGAGGAAAACCGTCACTGAAATTATCCGGAATTACCAGTTTTCGCAAAAAGGTTCCTGGAATTCGGGCGAAGCAGGTAAGGCCTTCATCAGATTACCAGCACTACACACTTGCTTCATTAAAAACCAATTGGGGGCTGAATGGAAATATCTGCGTAGTGCTTTATTCATGGCTTGGTGGGGAAAGCTTTCGGGATTTTGTACTTCTCTGTAGGTTAAGGGATTTTCGTCCCATGCAAAGGACAACTTACATTCAATTTTTTTAAAATATTCATTATTTAATTGCACCTCTTTCTCCGCTTTCACTTCTCAGATCTTCTGCAGCTTCCTTTATTATAGTATGTTAATCTTCTTTGAATACTGATTTAGTATTATTTTACTTTATATTTTATTCAATATAAGTTTTTTTTCAGTATTCAGTATTAAATTTCCATGTTTGTTTTGTGTTACTTGCTCTTATTCTACAGGTCCTTTACGTTTATTTTCGAAACGGTTTAAGTGTTCTGCTATGCCATTTCCAGAAATGCATACGCCGGTTAATTTGGAAGGGTCATTGCAACCAGATCTATGCCCAAGCATAAACATTTACGCTATAGATTTCTTTGGAACACGATTTCTGATTTCCTGGGATAGTTTGTGATTTTCTTTTGTTTGAAAAGGTGATATAATCCCTCTCACTCTGAATTTGGTTTGAAAAGTTCTACAAATCACTTAAAATGCATCTCTGATATGCAAGTATCAAAGTTTACATCTTGTAGGTCAATCACCGTACAACGATTTAATAAGCAATACAATTTTTTTGGTACGAGGAATTGATCGATTGACCTGGTGCTAAGTGATATTAACAATGTTTACAAAATAATTGTTAGAAATACTTCAGATCTTTCTAAACTAATTTCCTAGAAAAATCGACGTTTTTAATAAATTTTGTGCATTGATTATATTTACCACTTTTCGACTCGTGGAAAAGATATGACGAGCTCTCCAAAAAAACTAAACATCCCCATGCTAGCAAAATATCCTCCCTATCATTTTCTTTTCGTTCAGAGCGTGTTTGTTTTATTTTGATTCTGCTGATTCCTGAGTTTCTTTTAATCAATATTTTAATCTGTTTATGCGTCAGAGATTTCGCCGACAATGGTTGTATATTAATCTTGTATTGTTGCATGACCGTGAAACAAAGCGTATTGTTTTGCAAACAAGAAATAAATGCCGTACGGTTCGCAATAAATTTACCAATTAAAAAGCAGGAATTAACTTCGTGGTATCGAAGGGATACACTACACTCGTATGAAAAAAATGTGCTTAAAACGCTGTTATGTGACATAGTGTTACTTGAATGTATATAAATTATTTCGTATTGGACTCTCAACTCAACAATTCAATTATTACATTTTATTATAAATTAACTTTTACAAATTGCACCTCGAAGAGATTAGCTTGTACTTTCGCTCAATTACACAACCCTTGTGAAAGATTATTGCGAAATGCTGCTGTTGGCAATGCTTGAATTTATCACGGTTCTGTTAATAAATTCTTCTCTTAGCAATTAAAGAGCTCCAACATTATCAAAATATTTAACCATTTACCCCAATACCAAGTTATAAAAAGTTTCTGTGCACTATCAAGAGGAGGGAACATCGCTCCAGGGCCCACCACTTACATTTAATTTTATTCATTTTTGATTTAATTTGATAAATTAATAGATTGGTATCACTAACAACATACATGTACAATCATTTACACAAACATATAATTTAATTTCAGTCTCTGTATATGAAAAGAATATCTCCTTTCTTGTATCATTACTTTTATATTATGACATATATTACGTGTTTGTCCTTGGCGCGTCTGCCCCTGTACGGCCCATGTCGAATCAGTGGCTTCCCGGGCTCGTGGCCATGGGGTAGGGGGGTACCTGTGACGGCACGAAGACACCCCATGACGTATTCTGGTCTTATTAACCCGAGAAGTGAATTTTCTCATTGTCACACAGCAACAGTAATTGGACATTGAAAGGGAAAGGAACAGAATAATCTTTCCTGACCGGGTATCAAACCCGGAATTGCGTCATGGAAAGCGAGCACGCTGCCCAATAACTTAAGCTTCCAAGATATTACACGTTAATGTTAAATAAAGGTCGATGTATCTTTCTAGCATGGGAATGAATTAAACGATACATCTATAATAAGACTAAATTATATAAATAGTTCCTAAATATATTCTCTATTTTCCATTTTTTTAGTATAAAGACCCAAAATTTCTGTTTTGGCTAAATGTGATGTTATAACTCCAATTATAATTAACACTAGGGGTACATTGCATCATAATCATTGCCATTGATCATTGTTTATGATCTAAAATCATGACATTAAAAGTGTCAAAAATTTGCAGCTTAAAAATAATTGAAGCACAAAAAAACAACATCAGTGGGTCTCTGAGATTGGATCATTCTGACATTGGTCAGGTTAATGTGCAAGATGTAAGGTATCTGTGAATTATTTGTAATGCTGGTAATTATTTTAATACAAATTCAACGCTCACTTAGTTACTGATTTGCTGCAGTAATTTAAAAATACATATGCATCAGATGTATTTGCTGAATATAGAAAAGACAAAATGGAATATTTAATTCACTTCACTTAGTTATCTTCACCAAATATTTATAATATCGGAGTAGGATATTCTGGGAATTCAGTCTGAAAAATGAAAATAACTAGATCTCAATTATAATTTTATTTACCCAATATTGATTCTTCGGGTTAAAATCTGTAGTATAAATGCTCGATGTCGATAACGAGTTTCCATGTCGCACAATACAAGGAACGCGTTTAGAAAATACCTTCCCGGAAACCTCCAACGTGTTCGTGATCCATTAAAAGTGTCACCACAGAAACCAGAATTATGAACAGTAACCGGTTTCGCACCAGCCCAGTAGTAAAGAAAGCCACGAAAATTAGTCGATCCAGCACCTTTACGTCCTCGTAGCATCGTTCTGCCTGAGAGATCCAGTTTCTCAATTAAACACACAATTGTACACAGTCGCTTGTCAAACAAAGAGATTATGGAAGGATGATAAAATAGTTGTAAGGCACAATGAGTTCGGAACCTCCGTTTCAACGCTTCAAACAACTGAAATCATTCAGGTTTTAAGACGTTTTCAATACATTAGGGAGGTGTCCAAGTACTTGCAGTCATCTGCCCTCAGCAACAGATGGAACTACTCGACTGCGTGCTTGCGGTAGACGCAAAGAACGCGAACGGCGAGGCGACGCAACGAGGTCTGCCCATTGCCTAGGAGGCGAGTAAGAGTGAGAAAATGTGACGAAGTGAATGACAACTTTCAACTAAGTAGAATAGACAGTAAGCATTTATTATCTAATGTTTCCATGGCGTCAGCTGTTAAGGTCATTAGTCTCGTCAGTACAGTGCATGATACATCGTCAGAGGTCGTGGCTGTCCGCTAGAGCGAGAACCAGCGCCAACCTACAAGTCGGCTTGCGGAGGTTTCACATGTGTATCAGGCACTACCACGTTGAATCCAGGCTTCAGTCACCTAGGTGCCACCCGGGAAGCTCGAAGACCAAGCTCAATTTTATCAGTGATGACGTCAGTGACCCCGGGAATCTGAGCTCCATAGCAGGGGATTCCTGTTCTTCACCGGGGCTTTTGAATACGATCACGGTCCAACGCTATTATCTTATTACCGCTGGCGTAGTTTCTGTCTTTGACATGAATTCAAATCTTGAGACCACTTGCTTTGAGCCACTTAGACAAGAGGGGGAAGAGTTACTCACCTTCGTGTTGCAATAATACAAGAGAGGATGGCACGCGGATACGCTTAGACCAACCCTCCTTCGGAACGACACTCCCGTTGATCAAGGATGGAAATACCATACCTTCAGAGCAACCAATTTTCAATTGTCCCTGGACTCTAACTAAGCGACACTCACAATGTACCTGGACATGTCCGTAGACAATTTCCGGGAGTGGCGGGTCCGGCCACGACAAATCCAGACGGAGACCAAATCGGAGTCATCCGGCCTGCAGCGCGAGAAAATCTGAACCACCAACCGTCTTCTCCCTGCGCTGATTCTAGAATTAATTCGCTGATTCTAGAATTCGTTTGGAGATTTTAATTTCTACCTGGACGTTCGTGTGTGAGACTGAGATGCAAGGTTGCAGCCTCAATTTCACTCGAGGGGAAAGATTTTGAAATAAGTCGTGTCAACACCTTCATGGCGCAGGGTCTATGCCAGAAGATCTACCATGCCGTCGCTCCCTGCCGTGCGAGCGAGGTGGAACCGGCTTGCAGCCGACGTGTCGAGTTTTCGAGCGGAGGCGTGTGCTGGGCCACCGCCCCGAGGTTGGGAGGCGGCGGGCGGGTGG